TACTGGTGCTCTACTGTTCATAGGATAGTACTGGTGCTCTACTGTTCATAGGAGAGTACTGGTGCTCTACTGTTCAAAGGAGAGTACTGGTGCGCTACTGTTCATAGGAGAGTACTGGTGCTCTACTGTTCATAGGAGAGTACTGGTGCTCTACTGTTCATAGGATAGTACTGGTGCTCTACTGTTCATAGGAGAGTACTGGTGCTCTACTGTTCATAGGAGAGTACTGGTGCGCTACTGTTCATAGGAGAGTACTGGTGCTTTATTGTTTCTAGGATAGTACTGGTGCTTTACTGTTCATAGGAGAGTAATGGTGCTCTACTGTTCATAGGAGAGTACAGGTGCTCTACTGTTCATAGGATAGTACTGGTGCTCTACTGTTCATAGGAGAGTACTGGTGCTCTACTGTTCATAGGAGAGTACTGGTGCTCTACTGTTCATAGGATAGTCTGGCGCTCTACTGTTCATAGGAGAGTACTGGTGCTCTACTGTTCATAGGAGAGTACTGGTGCGCTACTGTTCATAGGATAGTACTGGTGCTCGACTGTTTATAAGAGAGGACTGGTGCTCTACTGTTTATAGGAGAGTAATGGTGCTCTACTGTTCATAGGAGAGTAATGGTGCTCTACTGTTCATAGGAGAGTAATGGTGCTCTACTGTTCACAGGATAGTACTGGTGCTCTACTGTTCATAGGAGAGTACTGGTGCTCTACTGTTCATAGGAGAGTACTGGTGCTCTACTATTCAGATTAGAGTAATGGTGCTCTGCTGTTCACAGGATAGTACTGGTGCTCTACTGTTCATAGGATAGTACCGATGCTCTACTGTTCATAGGATAGTACTGGTGCTCTAATGTTCATAGGATAGTACTGGTGCTCTACTCTTCATAGGAGAGTACTGGTGCTTTACTGTTCAGATGAGAGTAATGGTGCTCTGCTGTTCATAGGAGGGTACTGGTGCTCTACTGTTCATAGGAGGGTACTGGTGCTCTACTGTTCATAGGATAGTACTGATGCTCTACTGTTCATAGGATAGTACTGGTGCTCTACTGTTCATAGGAGAGTACTGGTGCTTTACTGTTCAGATGAGAGTAATGGTGCTCTGCTGTTCATAGGAGAGTACTGGTGCTCTACTGTTTATAGGAGAGTACTGGTGCTTTACTGTTCATATGAGTGTACCGGTGCTCTACTGTTCATAGGAGAGTTATGGTGCTGTACTGTTCATAAGAGAGGACTGGTGCTCTACTGTTCATAGGAGAGGACTGGTGCTCTACTGTTCATAGGAGAGTAATGGTGCTCTACTGTTCATAGGAGAGTAATGGTGCTCTACTGTTCATAGGAGAGTACTGATGTTCTACTGTTCATAGGAGAGTACTGGTGCTCTACTGTTCATAGGAGAGTACTGGTGCTCTACTGTTCATAGGAGAGTACTGGTGCTCTACTGTTCAGATGAGAGTAATGGTGCTCTGCTGTTCATAGGAGAGTACTGGTGCTCTACTGTTTATAGGAGAGTACTGGTGCTTTACTGTTAATATGAGTGTACCGGTGCTCTACTGTTCATAGGAGAGTTATGGTGCTCTACTGTTCATAAGAGAGGACTCCAGTGCTCTACTGTTCATAGGAGAGTAATGGTGCTCTACTGTTCATAGGATAGTACTGGTGCTCTACTGTTCATAGGAGAGTAATTGTGCTCTACTGTTTATAGGAGAGTAATGGTGCTCTACTGTTCATAGGAGAGTAATGGTGCTCTACTGTTCATAGGAGAGTAATGGCGCTCTACTGTTCATAGGAGAGTAATGGTGCTCTACTGTTCACAGGATAGTATTGGTGCTCTACTGTTCATAGGAGAGTACTGGTGCTCTACTGTTCATAGGAGAGTACTGGTGCTCTACTGTTCAGATGAGAGTAATGGTGCTCTGCTGTTCATAGGAGAGTACTGGTGCTCTACTGTTTATAGGAGAGTACTGGTGCTTTACTGTTCATATGAGTGTGCCGGTGCTCTACTGTTCATAGGAGAGTTATGGTGCTCTACTGTTCATAAGAGAGGACTGATGCTCTACTGTTCATAGGAGAGGACTGGTGCTCTACTGTTCATAGGAGAGTAATGGTGCTCTACTGTTCATAGGAGAGTAATGGTGCTCTACTGTTCATAGGATAGTACTGGTGCTCTACTGTTCATAGGAGAGTAATGGTGCTCTACTGTTCATAGGAGAGTAATGGTGCTCTACTGTTCATAGGAGAGTAATGGTGCTCTACTGTTCATAGGAGAGTAATGGTGCTCTACTGTTCATAGGAGAGTAGGGATGAGAATGCATCTGATGGTAACTCATGACTAAACATGATCCATTTTACTTTTAGTTTATTAACACTATCAAACAATTTTTTCGTTTCACAGAGCTTATACAGTTCGTTGTTACTGATTAATCCAGTAAATGACAAATTTTATTCGTTCATAGTTTTGATAGACAACTTTGGCTTACAATGTCGTTGAAATGAGAAAATTGTGTCTATATTGTTTTAATCGCAATGAATAAGTATTAATAATGGCTTGTACTGATATAAAAATGTGTCATGTTGACCGACCGTTGCAATTGTATATTAAAGTCACTATTGTGACGGTACATTATAGAACTAGACAGAAACATATGGTGTGAGGCTGACATGAAATCAGGTAACGGCATGTATTGCGACATTTCAGTCCGAAACGTAATTATTATCTTATAATGTAAACGTTAAAGCGATTTTTGATTCTAAATATTTCAGTAACAATATGTAGCGACCAACCGATCATGAATATTTGGAAAATATGTTTGACGACTCTGTTTTGTTTACACATTCAAGGTTAATTTTCAACTATACCATCTCGAAGCAGAAGTCTGTGTTTTCTATTTTAAGTCATAAATAGGATACTTATTGTTTCGTTATTATAATGATTTTAACAGAATTAAGAGGCGTTCAGAATAATTGAATCAAACCGAGTCCTATATCATATATAGCTATATTTACAAAAGCTGTAAGTGTTTATATTTCTAATCGCTAAAACAATATTTATCGTTGTTATATTTCAGGTTACATTTTATATGCAGTAAATAACGAGATATCACCTGTATCCGTCTCTTTATCATCAACGCGGGAGACTCTTGTGGCAACTAATGGCATAGACAAGGATACTAACACACGAGCTCATACATCATCTGAGTCTGACCCCTGGTTTAAAGCTAAGCTAGGAAAGACCTACTGTGTAGAGGAGGTGCGCCATTACATGTACTCTGACAAACTCGCGTATAACAAGCACACATGCTCGAGAGATGTGTGTACTGCTAGTGGTCGGTACTACAGAAGCTATCCTACTCGGTTCCCCGTGTCAGTGTACTCTGAGGATGGAACAGTACCTGACAACGTTCCTTCTGATTGTAAGATTGGAGACACAGTGGTTATTAGTGGGGGTGATTTAGATTATCCCTGGGTCCACTTATTCGAGATAGTTATCATCGGAAGAGATATAGGTAAGATTTTATACCAGATTAGTTATCACTTTTCTCGATTATGCTAAAATTAACACAAACCTACGCCTACAAAATAAAAGATGATTTAAACAAACTTTTCATAAATCTGTTCATAAATCACCTTGAACTGTTCCAAGTTAAAAACAATTTGTGGATATGGTTGCCGGACAGTTGCCCCCCTTCTCACCCAATCTAGATTAAGTAACCATGTAATAGGAAGATGACGAATAAAAAGTGCTTAATTCAGATACGACAGTTCCGCCCTGTTAATCATGATATCCTATTCTGTGAAATTCAGATCATATTTATTTAGAGCCACATAGAGTTTAAAGTGTTTCCGGGGCACAAATGTCGTTTTGAAAATCTGGCATGACGAATCAGCTATCAGTATCACGTCGCTGATTGGGAACCTGTAAATGCGTGGGAACAGGATCTGAAGGGGTGCAGCTCACAGTTATCGGCCGTGAATATACAGGGTGTCCCAAACAACAACCATTTGATCGGTGTTAACAACTCAAGAACGGTTTGAGAACGAGATTTATTAATAACTGGAGCGGAAGGGAGACCCGTGGTGTCCAGGAAAAATGTTTTCTTTGGTTCATTCGAGTAGGGTGTGGCAGCCAGTGAGCCTCATCACGCTATTTTACAAATTGTCTTATATCTCACTCATTTGTTATGTCATCGGTTTGTTGTGAAGATCATATTGTGATAATTGATCTAGAAATGGGCTAGATGTGGGGTAGAGTTCACATGAGAACTCTGTTATAGTAGCTATAAATTAAGAAGTGAACATTATTTGGTTCCAGCCGCCGATACGCCGCCGCCGCCGAGTGAAACACGGCCTCACGCCGCCGCTGCAGCATTTTCGGCGGCGCCCACGTCTGTGCGCTACAACATACAAACATCTCGTTTTGTTGTGAGTGCTTGGTGCAACCACCGACTTGGCCCCCGATAATGATATTAGTAATCCGTTATATTGTTGAACAAATTATGATGCTGATATTATGTTGAACATGATTGTTAAGTGATTGGTTTGTTATACTTATACGAAATGGAAAATGGACCATAAGGCATAAATGTTATTATGACTATGAGTTACATTACCTAGTACTACAGATTTCACGACTACCATTTTATTTAATCTAACAACTTATGTAAACTTGTAAACAACCATTCCTTTGCAAACTAGCATTCTTGCTTTGCATCAATCGATCTGGAAGAGTTGACATCGTCCATCAACCATTCCTTCACATAGCTTTTTTTCTTCAAAGTTTTAACTGTATATCACCACACAGGCGCAGGCTACGGTGTCCAGTCATTCAACTTTTAAAATTTAAATAATTGACAATGGCAACCCCTCCATTTTGTGCTCTGTAGCGCCCCAAGAATGATGAATAAAGAACCATTATTTGATATTTTGACCAACATGAAACGATCGTTAATCGTAATTTTACATTTTAAAGGCAATGCCTACGGTTGATGGAAATATAGCGTCCGCTAACCGGTGCAATTATTCTTGTTAATGAATTCAACTCACAGATTTTAGTCTGGTGGACTCTCATGGTGATACTATTGGAGCTGGCATTCTTGGGTTACTAATCAGCGATGGAGGAACAGTTTGTAACGATTATTTCACTGAAGATTCAGCTGATGCTATTTGTCGTGAAATGGGATACATGGGTCAAATGAGTTGGACATCCGGTAATAAGTGGGGCATCCAGTCAAATTATGATATTACCCTGGACGACGTTTCATGTCGCAGCGGTGAATGGAGTTTGTGTACATTTTCACTATCGAACAATTGTGATCACAGTAAAGATGTGTTTTTACAGTGTGATGCAACTGGTGAGTCAACATCATAAATTAAAGGAAACCCTGTATAATTGGGTTAAACTTAAAAGTAATTTGATACCATAATACTTCATCTTATACATGTGTTAAGTAGTTCAAGCTTTTCTTTACTTGATCATTGATCATGATGCGCTACAACATACAAACATCTCGTTTTGTTGTGAGTGCTTGGTGCAACCACCGACTTGGATCCCGATAATGATATTAGTAATCCGTTATATTGTTGAACAAATTATGATGCTGATATTATGTTGAACATGATTGTCGAGTGATTGATTTGTTATAAAAAATGGACCATAATTGTTAATATGAGTTACACCTACTACAAATTTCACGACTACCATTTTCTTCAAAGTTTTAACTGCATATCACCACACAGGCGCAGGCTACGGTGTCCGGTCATTTAACTTTTCAAATTTAAATAATTGACAATGACAACCCCTCCATTTTGTGCTCTGTAGCACCCCAAGAATGATGAATAAAGAACCATTATTTGATATTTTGACCAACATGAAACGATCGTTAATTGTAATTTTACATTTTAAAGGCAATGCCTACGGTTGATGGAAATATAGCGTCCGCTAACCGGCGCAATTATTCTTGTTAATAAATTCAACTCACAGATTTTAGTCTGGTGGACTCTCATGGTGAGACTATTGGAGCTGGCATTCTTGGGTTACTAATCAGCGATGGAGGAACAGTTTGTGACGATTATTTCACTGAAGATTCAGCTGATGCTATTTGTCGTGAAATGGGATACATGGGTCAAATGAGTTGGACATCCGGTAATAAGTGGGGCATCCAGTCAAATTATGATATTACCCTGGACGACGTTTCATGCAGCAGCGGTGAATGGAGTTTGTGTACATTTTCATTATCAAACGATTGTGGTCACAGTAAAGATGTGTTTTTACAGTGTTATGAAATTGGTGAGTCAACATCATAAATTAAAGGACACCCTGTATAAATGTGTTAAAAGTAATTTGATACCATAAAATATTGTCCAGCAAACAAGTCGAAGCACCTTCCGTTTCTAACCCTAATATAACCCTTAATTGTACCAAACTGATAACCATGAAACGTTACTTCATTTTATAAATGTGTTAAGTAGTTCAAGCTTTTCTTTACTTGATCATTGATCATGATGCGCTACAACATACAAACATCTTGTTTTGTTGTGAGTGCTTGGTCATTGGTGCAACCACCGACTTGGCTCCCGATAATGATATTAGTAATCCGTTATATTGTTGAACAAATTATGATGCTGATATTATGTTGAACATGATTGTCGAGTGATTGATTTGTTATACGGAATGGACGATAAATGTTATTATGAGTTATATCACCTGCCTACTACAAATTTCACGACTACCATTTCATTTAATCTAACAACTTATGTAAACTTGTAAACAACCATTCCTTCACTTGGCTTTTTTTCTTCAAAGTTTTAACTGCATATCACCACACAGGCGCAGGCTACGGTATCCGGTCATTCAACTTTTAAAATTTGAATAATTGACAATGGCAACCCCTCCATTTTGTGCTCTGTAGCACCCCAAGAATGATGAATAAAGAACCATTATTTGATATTTTGACCAACATGAAACGATCGTTAATCGTAATTTTACATTTTAAAAGGCAATGCCTATGGTTGATGGAAATCTAGCGTCCGCTAACCAGCGCAATTATTCTTGTTAATGAATTCAACTCACAGATTTTAGTCTGGTGGACTCTCATGGTGATACTATTGGAGCTGGCATTCTTGGGTTACTAATCAGCGATGGAGGAACAGTTTGTGACGATTATTTCTCTGAAGATTCAGCTGATGCTATTTGTCGTGAAATGGGATACTTTGGTCAAATGAGTTGGACATCCGGTAATAAGTGGGGCATCCAGTCAAATTATGATATTACCCTGGACGACGTTTCATGCAGCAGCGGTGAATGGAGTTCGTGTACATTTTCACTATTGAACAATTGTGGTCACAGTAAAGATGTGTTTTTACAGTGTGATGGAGGTGAGTCAACATCATAAATTAAAGGAAAACTTGTATAATTGGGTTAAAAGTAATTTGATACCATAAAATATTGTTCAGTAAACAAGTGGAAGCACCTTCCGTTTCTAACCCTAATATAACCCTTAATTGTACTAAACTGATAACCATGAAACGTTACTTCATCTTATACATGTGTTAAGTAGTTCAAGCTTTTCTTTAGTTGATCATTGATCATGATGCGCTACAACATACAAACATCTCGTTTTGTTTTGAGTGCTTGGTGCAACCACCGATTTGGCCCCGATAATTTTTTTTATTGAAATCTTTCAAATCAGTCAATTACATACAAGTTTACACAATGAATTAGTTAAATATAATATTGTCCTCTAAGCATGGAAATGATATTAGTAATCCGTTATATTGTTGAACAAATTATGATGCTGATATTATGTTGAACATGATTTTCGAGTGATTGATTTGTTAGGTATACGAAATGGACCATAAATGTTATTATAAGTTACATTACCTACCTACTACGGATTTCACGACTACCATTTTATTTAATCTAATAACTTATGTAAACTTGTAAACAACCATTCCTTCACATGGCTTTTTTTCTTCCAAGTTTTAACTGCATATCATCACACAGGCGCAGGCTACGGTATCCGGTCATTCAACTTTTCAAATTTCAATAATTGACAACGGCAACCCCTCCATTTTGTGCTCTGTAGCGCCCCAAGAATGATGAATAAAGAACCATTATTTGATATTTTGACTAACATGAAACGATTTTACATTTTAAAGGCAATGCCTACGGTTGATGGAAATCTAGCGTCCGGTAACCGGTGCAATTATACTTGTTAATAAATTCAACTCACAGATTTTAGTTTGGTGGACTCTCATGGTGATACTATTGGAGCTAACATTCTTGGGTTACTAATCAGCAATGGAGGAACAGTTTGTCACAATTATTTCACTGATTACTCAGCTGATGCTATTTGTCGTGAAATGGGATACTTTGGTGAAATGAGTTGGACATCTGGTAATAAGTGGGGCATCCAGTCAAATTATGATATTACCCTGGACGACGTTTCATGTAGCAGCGGTGAATGGAGTTCGTGTACATTTTCATTATCGAACGATTGTGATCACAGTAAAGATGTGTTTTTACAGTGTTATGTTATTGGTGAGTCAACATCATAAATTAAGGGGGGGGGGGGGGGGGGGGGGGGGGGGGTTCACCCTAATTTTTTTGTGAAACTTGGTTTGGAGATAGCAGTTGACCAACAAACTAGGACCGGTGACCAAACTTTTGAGGGGGTCCCGGACCCCAACCGCCAAACGGTGCCCGTGGGGCAGCCACGCCCATATTTGGTCCAAATTAGGCCCAATTTAGCCAAATATCCTGAACATGCCAAAAACCAGATTTAGGTGCTTTACTTGTAGCTATTGGTCCCCTGAACTCGTATATGAAATTTCATTAAGATTGGACAAAAAATAACCGAGTTATGAACCAAAATATGACCATATTTGGGCATAAGCACCAAATTTGATCGGTTTTGGCCCATAAATTGGTCAAATATCAATATTTTTGAATGAAACCAACTGTATATAATGGAAAATAAGCCTATATTACACATCCTCTATGATTATCAGCTCAGTATCTACCTAACTGTGGATTCTGTATTCAAATAATCGCAAAAAATGAACAAAATCGTCCATATCTCAGTTCGCGATATTTGCGAAACTGATTTTGCTCAAAACAATAGAACTCAATAGAGTTTCAATATTTTTACATGAAATTTTCAGAATAAACGTAGAATCGCATTTCGACTTTAAGTTTTGTATTGGAATTTTGAGTTAGGCCTTTAAGTTTAAAAAAATTTGGCGGCCAAATTCTGAAAAATGCCAGGCAAATTATGGAATTTGGCCGCCAGATTTTTTTAAATTCCTAACTCAAAATTCCAATACAAAACTTAAGGTCGAAATGCGATTCTACGTTGATTTTGAAAATTTCATGTAAAAATATTGAAACCCTATTGAGTTCTATTGTTTTGAGCGAAATCAGTTTTGCAAATATCGCGAACTGAGATATGGGCAATTTTGTTCATATTTTGCGATTATTTGGATACAGAATCCACGATTAGGTAGATAATGAGCTGATAATCATAGATAATGTGTAGTATAGGCATACCTTCCATATAAAGTTGGTTTCATTCAAAAATATTGATATTTGACTAATTTATGGACCAAAATCGATCAAATTTGGTGCGTATGCCCTAATGTGGTCATATGGTTTTTGGCTCAAAACTTAGTTTTTTTGTTGTTCAATCTTGATGAAAATTCATATACGAGTTCAAGGGACCACTAGCTACAAGTAGAGCACCTAAAATCTGTATTTTGAGCATGTTCAGGGTATTTGGCTAAATTGGGCCTAATTTGGACCAAATATGGGCGTGGCTGCCCGCGGGCACCGTTTGGCGGTTGGGGTCCGGGACCCCCTCAAAAGTTCAGTCACCGGTCCTAGTTTGTTGATCATCTGCTATCTCGAAACCATGTTTCACCAAAAATCAGGGTGAACCCCCCTCCCCCCCCCCCCCCCCCCCCCCCCCCCCCCCCCCCCCCCCCCCCCCCCCCCCCCCCCCCCCCCCCCCCTAAAGGACACCCTGTATAATTGGGTTAAAAGTAATTTGATACCATAAAATATTGTTCAGTAAACAAGTCGAAGCACCTTCCGTTTCTAACCCTAATATAACCCTTAATTGTACCAAACTGATAACCATGAAACGTTACTTCATCTTATAAATGTGTTAAGTAGTTCAAGCTTTTCTTTACTTGATCATTAATCATGATGCGGTACAACATACAAACATCTCGTTTTGTTGTGAGTGCTTCATCATTGGTGCAACCACCGACTTGGCTCCCGATAATGATATTAGTAATCCGTTATATTGTTGAACAAATTATGATGCTGATATTATGTTGAACATGATTGTCAAGTGATTGATTTGTTATACAAAATGGACCATAATTGTTAATATGAGTTACACCTACTACAAATTTCACGACTACCATTTTATTTAATCTAACACATCATGTAAACTTGCAAACAACCATTCCTTCACATTCCTTCAGGCTACGGTATCCGGTCATTCAACTTTTAAAATTTGAATAATTGACAATGGCAACCCCTCCATTTTGTGCTCTGTAGCACCCCAAGAATGATGAATAAATAACCATTGTTTGATATTTTGACCAACATGAAACGATCGTTAATTGTAATTTTACATTTTAAAGGCAATGCCTACGGTTGATGGAAATATAGCGTCCGCTAACCGGTGCAATTAATCTTGTTAATAAATTCAACTCACAGATTTTAGTCTGGTGGACTCTCATGGTGATACTATTGGAGCTGGCATTCTTGGGTTACTAATCAACAATGGAGGAACAGTTTGTAACGATTATTTCACCTTTTACCCAGGTGATGCTATTTGTCGTGAAATGGGATACATGGGTCAAATCGGTTGGACATCCGGTAATAAGTGGGGCATCCAGTCAAATTATGATATTACCCTGGACGACGTTTCATGTAGCAGCGGTGAATGGAGTTCGTGTACATTTTCATTATCGAACGATTGTGATCACAGTAAAGATGTGTTTTTACAGTGTTATCAAATTGGTGAGTCAACATCATAAATTAAAGGACAACCTGTATAATTGGGTTAAAAGTAATTTGATACCATAAAATATTGTTCAGTAAACATGTTGAAGCACCTTCCGTTTCTAACCCTAATATAACCCTTAATTGTACCAAACTGATAACCATGATCAAACGTCACTTCATCTTATACATGTGTTAATAAGTAGTTCAAGCTTTTCTTTACTTGATCATTGATCATGATGCGCTACAACATACAAACATCTCGTTTTGTTGTGAGTGCTTGGTGCAACTACCGACTTGGCTCCCGATAATGATATTATAGTAATCCGTTATATTGTTGAACAAATTATGATGCTGATATTACGTTGAACATGATTGTCGAATAATTGATTTGTTATAGTTATACGGCCCCACAAAAAACCTCACCGAACCTCCACGCGGTGTGGGGTGGGTGACTCGAACGGGAGGTGCATGGGTGTTTCTAACCTATGCAAAGGAAGGGACTAGGCATCTCAACAACAAAGCAAAGGAAAGGCTATAATAGCCTTTACTAACCTTAGACCCGCAGCATAACCGCTTTTCCCACAGGCGAATAACACCTTCCGCAGGAAAATAACACGCTCACAGGCTCCCACATGACGTGTAACCCCAGGATTTGGTTTTGGATCGAACACTCAAAACAACGATAGAGGAGAGGTCTCACGCTCACAGACTACAACGTCTCGTGTAACCCCAGGATTTAACACGCTCACAGGCTACCACGTCTCGTGTACCCTAGGATTTGATTATGGATCGGACACTCAAAACAACGACAGAGGAGCGGTCTACAGTGACAGAGTGACGTTACAGTAACATTGCAAACTCCTACGATTTTCACGTAGCAGGCCATGAACTCCCCTGGAAGTCCCTGTCTCTCCGTCGTTAACCCGGCGGGGTTGCATCAGGGGCGGTGGTAACAGAACTTCAAGACTCTCGGAGTCTGTTGTCGATATCTATGTTTAATATATTTATGGTATATAATTTGAAAGTCTCTCTCTCCGGCAGCAGGAGTTGGAGAATGGGGACGCGTTGTGAAAGCCACCGTAAGGAAGGCTTACTGTCGACGCCGACCAATCAAAAGAAAATGTGTTATAGGAAATAGACCATAAATGTTATTATCATATTATGAGTTACATTACCTACCTACTACGGATTTCACGACTACCATTTTATTTAATCTAACAACTTATATAAACTTGTAAACAACCATTCCTTAACATGGCTTTTTTTCTTCAAAGTTTAAACTGCATATCACCACACAGGCTACGGTGTCCAGTCATTTAACTTTTAAAATTTCTATAATTGACAATGGCAACCCATCCATTTTGTGCTCTGTAGCGCCCCAAGAATGATGAATAAAGAACCATTATTTGATATTTTTACCAACATAAAACGATCGTTAATTGTAGTTTTAAATTTTTAAAGGCAATGCCTACGGTTGATGAAAATCTAGCGTCCGGTAACCGGCGCAATTATACTTGTTAATGAATTCAACTCGCAGATTTTAGTCTGGTGGACTCTCATGGTGATACTATTGGAGCTGGCATTCTTGGGTTACTAATCAGCAATGGAGGAACAGTTTGTAACGATCATTTCACTGATTACTCAGCTGATGCTATTTGTCGTGAAATGGGATACTTTGGTCAAATGAGATGGACATCTGGTAATAAGTTGGGCATCCAGTCAAATTATGATATTACTCTGGACGACGTTTTATGCAGCAGCGGTGAATGGAGTTCGTGTACATATTCACTATCGAACGATTGTGGTCACAATGAAGATGTGTTTTTACAGTGTGATGCAACTGGTGAGTCAACATCATAAATTTAAGAAAACCTTGTATAATTGGGTTAAAAGTAATTTGATACCAAAAATATTGTTCAGTAATGAGTAAACAATTCGAAGCACCTTCCGTTTTTAACCCTAATATAACCCTTAATTGTACCAAACTGATAACCATTGTAATTTTACAATTTAGAAGGCAATGCCTACGGTTGATGGAAATCTAGCGTCCGCTAACCAGCGTAATTATGGTTGTTAATGAATTCAACTCACAGATTTTAGTCTGGTGGACTCTCATGGTGATACTATTGGAGCTGGCATTCTTGGGTTACTAATCAGCGATGGAGGAACAGTTTGTGACTATGATTTCACTGAAGATTCAGCTGATGCTATTTGTCGTGAAATGGGATACTTTGGTCAAATGAGTTGGACATCCGGTAACTACGTAGATGAAGAGAGCATCCAGTCAAATTATAATATTACCCTGGACGACGTTTCATGTAGCAGCGGTGAATGGAGTTCGTGTACATATTCATTATCAAACGATTGTGATCACATTTTTGATGTGTTTTTACAGTGTGATGGATTTGGTGAGTCAACATCATAAATTGAAGGACACCCTGTGTAATTGGGTTAAAAGTAATTTGATACCATAAAATATTGTTCAGTAAACAAGTCGAAGCACCTTCCGTTTCTAACCCTAATATAACCCTTAATTGTACCAAACTGATAACCATGAAACGTTACTTCATCTGATACATGTGTTAAGTAGTTCAAGCTTTTCTTTACTTGATCATTGATCATGATGCACTATAACATACTAACTTTTCGTTTTGTTGTGAGTGCTTGGTGCAACCACCGACTTCATGGCTCCCGATAATGATATTAGTAATCCGTTATATTGTTGAACAAATTATGATGCTGATATAATATGTTGAACATGATTGTCGAGTGATTGATTTGTTATACGAAATGGACCATAAATGTTATTATGAGTTACATTACCTACTCCGGATTCCACGACTACCATTTTATTTAATCTAATAACTTATGTAAACTTGTAAACAACCATTCCTTCACATGGCTTTTTTTCTTCAAAGTTTTAACTGCATATCACCACACAGGCGCAGGCTACGGTGTCCGGTCATTAAACTTTTAAAATTTGAATAATTGACAATGGCAACCCCTCCATTTTGTGCTCTGTAGTGCCCCAAGAATGATGAATAAAGAACCATTATTTGATATTTTGACCAACATAAAACGATCGTTAATTGTAATTTTAAATTTTAAAAGGTAATACCTACGGTTGAATTTTAAAAGGTAATGCCTACGGTTGATGGAAATCGAGCATCCACTAACCGGCGCAATTATGGTTGTTAATGAATTCAACTCACAGATTTTAGTCTGGTGGACTCTCATGGTGATACTATTGGAGCTAACATTCTTGGGTTACTAATCAGCGATGGAGGAACAGTTTGTGACGATTATTTCACTGATTACTCAGCTGATGCTATTTGTCGTGAAATGGGATACATCGGTCAATTGAGTTGGACATCTGGTAATAAGTGGGGCATCCAGTCAAATTATGATATTACCCTGGACGACTTTTCATGCAGCAGCGGTGAATGGAGTTCGTGTACATTTTCACTATCGAACAATTGTGGTCACAGTAAAGATGTGTTTTTACAGTGTGATGGAAGTGGTACGTGAGTCAACATCATAAATTAAAGGAAACCCTGTATAATTGGTTTAAAAGTAATTTAATACCATAAAATATTGTTCAGTAAACAAGTCAAAGTACCTGCCGTTTCTAACCCTAATATAACCCTTTTTAATTGTATCAAACTGATAACCATGAAACGTTACTTCATCTTATACATATGTTAATAAGTAGTTCAAGCTTTTCTTTACTTGATCATTGATCATGATGCACTATAACATACAAACATCTCGTTTTGTTGTGAGTGCTTGGTGCAACCACCGACTTGGCTCCCGATAATGATATTAGTAATCCGTTATATTGTTGAACAAATTATGATGCTGATATTATGTTGAACATGATTGTCGAGTGATTGATTTGTTATACGGAATGGACCATAAATGTTATTATGAGTTACATTACCTACTACGGATTTCACGACTACCATTTTATTTAATCTAACAACTTATGTAAACTTGTAAACAACCATTCCTTCACATGGATTTTTTTCTTCAAAGTTGTAACTGCATATCACCACACAGGCGCTTAGGCTACGGTGTCCGGTCATTTAACTTTTTAAATTTGAATAATTGACAATGACAACCCCTCCATTTTGTGCTCTGTAGCGCCCCAAGAATGATGAATAAAGAACCATTATTTGATATTTTGACCAACATAAAACGATCGTTAATTGTAGTTTTAAATTTTAAAAGGCAATGCCTACGGTTGATGGAAATCGAGCGTCCGCTAACCACCGCAATTATTTTTGTTAATGAATTCAACTCACAGATTTTAGTCTGGTGGACTCTCATGGTGATACTATTGGAGCTAACATTCTTGGGTTACTAATCAGCGATGGAGGAACAGTTTGTGACGATTCTTTCACTGAAGATTCAGCTGATGCTATTTGTCGTGAAATGGGATACTTTGGTCAAGTGAGTTGGACATACGGTAATAAGTGGGGCATCCAGTCAAATTATGATATTACCCTGGACGACGTTTCATGCAGCAGCGGTGAATGGAGTTCGTGTACATTTTCGTTATCGAACGATTGTGATCACGATGAAGATGTGTTTTTACAGTGTGATGGAATTGGTGAGTCAACATCATAAATTAAAGGACACCCTGTATAATTGGGTTAAAAGTAATTTGATACCATAAAATATTGTTCAGTGAACAAGTTGAAGCACCTTCCGTTTCTAACCCTAATATAACCCTTAATTGTACCAAACTGATAACCATGAAACGTTACTTCATCTTATACATGTGTTAATAAGCAGTTCAAGCTTTTCTTAATTTCTTTACTTGATCATTGATCATGATGCGCTACAACATACAAACATCTTGTTTTGTTGTGAGTGCTTGGTGCAACCACCGACTTGGCTCCCGATAATGATATTAGTAATCCGTTATATTGTTGAACAAATTATGATGCTGATATTATGTTGATAACTGATAACCATGAAACTTCACTTCAGATGTTGAATCAGTTAACATAGAAGTGAAGGAAGGCTCTTACGCAACGATTTCGTGTATCATCAATGGCATAACAGAAACAGCAGCAGTGACCTGGCGAACAAGTACAGGACCTGTTCCAGGCGATAAGCTCGTCCCTACCCAAGGAAGTTACTCTGATGGGACACAGACATCAACTCTTGCCGTAGACGGAACTCTTGTCAACGAAGATACTGCCTACACTTGCAGAGTCACTTCAAGATCTTTACCTGATTCCAACTTCTCTGATACCACTGTCAATCTGAACGTTTATGGTATGTTCTTAAACGCTAATGCAGTAATTGTGCGATATATTTTTCGATTCATGAACGAATTTTTATCCTTTCTTCATATTCCAATTCACATCAGATCAAGGAAATGATTTCATGATCCGTCAGTTATAAATTGTAGAATTTGTAAATTTACCAAAACTCATTTCAGACGTTGAATCAGTTTACACAGAAGTGAAGAAAGGCTCTTACGCAACGATTTCGTGTATCATCACTAGCATAACAGAAACAGCAGCAGTGACCTGGCGAACAAGTACAGGACCTGTTCCAGCTGAAAAGTTCACCCCTGTCCAAGGAAGTTACTCTGCAGGGACACAGACGTCAACTCTTGCCGTAGACGGAACTCTTGTCAACGAAGATACTGCCTACACTTGCAGAGTCACTTCCGGATCTTTACCTGATTCCAACTTCTCTGATACCACTGTCAATCTAAACGTTTATGGTATGTTCTTTAACGCTAACAGTAATTTCTATCTCACCTCCAATCTCCATATTCTAATTCAATTCAGTTAACGGAATTGTTTTGATGATCCGTTGGTTGTAAATTGTAGAATTTGTAGAATTTGTAAATTTACCAAAACACACTTCAGACGTTCAATCAGTTAACACAGAAGTGAAGAAAGGCTCTTACGCAACGATTTCGTGTATCATCACTGGCATAACAGAAACAGCAGCAGTGACCTGGCGAACAAGTACAGGACCAGTTCCAGCTGAAAAGTTCACCCCTGTTCAAGGAAGTTACTCTGCAGGGGCACAGACATCAACTCTTGCTGTAGACGGAACTCTCGTCAACGAAGATACTGCCTACACTTGCAGAGTCACTTCCGGATCTTCACCTGATTCCAACTTCTCTGATACCACTGTCAATCTAAACGTTTATGGTATGTTCTTTAACGCTAACAGTAATTTCTATCTCACCTCCAATCTCCATATTCTAATTCAATTCAGTTAACGGAATTGTTTTGATGATCCGTTGGTTGTAAATTGTAGAATTTGTAGAATTTGTAAATTTACCAAAACTCACTTCAGACGTTGAATCAGTTAACACAGAAGTGAAGAAAGGCTCTTACGCAACGATTTCGTGTATCATCACTGGCATAACAGAAACAGCAGCAGTGACCTGGCGAACTAGTACAGGACCAGTTTCAGGCGATAAGCTCGTCCCTAACCAAGGAAGTTACTCTGATGGGAGACAGACATCAACTCTTGCCGTAGACGGGACTCTTGTCAACAAAGATACTGCCTACACTTGTAGAGTCACTTCCGGATCTTTACCTGATTCCAACTTCTCTGATACCACTGTCAATCTAAACGTTTATGGTATGTTCTTTAAACGCTAATGCAGTAATTGTGCGATATATTTTTCGATTCATGAACTAATTTCTATCCTTCCTCCATATTCCAATTCACATCAGATCAAGGAAATGATTTCATGATTTGTCGGTTATAAATTGTAGAATTTGTAAATTTACCAAAACTCATTTCAGACGTTGAATCAGTTAACACAGAAGTGAAGAAAGGCTCTTACGCAACGATTTCGTGTATCATCACTGGCATAACAGAAACAGCAGCAGTGACCTGGCGAACAAGTACAGGACCTGTTCCAGGCGATAAGCTCGTCCCTACCCAAGGAAGTTACTCTGATGGGAGACAGACATCAACTCTTGCCGTAGACGGGACTCTTGTCAACAAAGATACTGCCTACACTTGTAGAGTCACTTCCGGATCTTTACCTGATTCCAACTTCTCTGATACCACTGTCAATCTAAACGTTTATGGTATGTTCTTTAGACGCTAACAGTAAGCTTACAATCTATTTATCGATTCATGAACTAATTTTTTTCCTTCCTCCATATTCCAATTCACATCAGATCAAGGAAATTATTTCATGATTTGTCGGTTATAAATTGTAGAATTTGTAAATGCTCAAAAATCTATGCATCAATTTCAAAACATAACTTTTCCAATAAGAGGTTGTTTTAAGAAAATGTATTTAATGGTCATCTACGTCTATTAAACAAAAAATAACTTATATTACATTAACTTGAAATTTAAAAATATCAATTTATGTCAATAATTAAATTTAATATTTTAATCGTGCAAGCGTTATAAATTGAATGACGATTAATCACTCTACACTCGACTGTCACGTGACTTTTTCAATCCGTTCTCTAGCTGGCCCTGAACGAGTACTCGAAACCTTAACCCTCTAATCTGATTCCAACCGTAACCCAATCCCTAACAAAAGCATAATATGCTGAAACCCTAATCCAATGAGAAATTATATCAACTTCATTATACGGTCATATTACATGATCGAGACAGTTTTTCGCCAATATTTTGCCAGAAAAGCATATTTAACTCTATGTCATGGGGGTGATTCAGACACACGCGCTCTTATATCACCTTTATATGATCATAACACCAGGTTTAAAGCTAAGTTAGGAAAGACATATCGTGCAGAGGAGGTTAACTATTGGCATAATTACACGTACTCTGATTATCACACTTACCCGTATAACAAACATACATGCTCGAGACATATTGATATTGATATTGATATTGATATTGATATTGATATTGATATTGATATTGATATTGATATTGATATTGATATTGATATTGATATTGATATTGATATTGATATTGATATTGATATTGATATTGATATTGATATTGATATTGATATTGATATTGATATTGATATTGATATTGATATTGATATTGATATTGATATTGATATTGATATTGATATTGATATTGATATTGATATTGATATTGATATTGATATTATTGAATGAAGCTAACTTCAGACATAAATAATATTACTTCTTTTTACAAAGGGACTTGGAGTATAAACGACCAAGTATGCATGATTGTCTATCCAACCAAGAATTCAGGAGGCAAGGGTGGGTGCGTAAACTTTACTCTCTGCACTCTCCGATCCTGTATCACCCTGAATTCTTTTCAACGCATTTTTATTAAAGGTATTATATATACCTTCTAGTCACTCTCTTGCTACTCCAAGTTCCCTAAGATATCTGGTCTAAAATTCGTGCTAGTTATGCATGTAAAATATATTTTTGTCTGCTTTAATATATGTGGATTCCCGTGGGGAGGTGTAGTGAGGCAAATTTGTTTATTTTAATAGTAGATTGCCTGTTCAGCAGGTTGAAGAGGTGATGCAGATTTGTTTACATTTTAATAGTAGATTGCCTGTTCAGCAGGTTGAAGAGGTGATGCAGATTTGTTTACATTTTAATAGTAGATTACCTGTTCAGCAGGTTGAAGAGGTGATGCATATTTTGTATTATGGAACGCTTGTAACGCTTGTAACTCCTTCTTGTTACCACTTACCCCGCTTTGAATGCCCCGAATTATTTTATATAATGTGCGTTAACCGTGCGTTAACCGTGCGTTAACCGTGCGTTATGTGACCACCGACAGTTTACCGAATTGCCGGCTATTGTAGTTGGAGGGGTAATTTTAAGCCTAAGCCATGCACGATCCTCTTATGAGAGTTGTAGTAGCTACATTTCGATCATTGTGGATATAGTAAAACCGTAGAATACCCTTGTTAACTTGATATTTACATTTGTAAATGTATCTTTGTTTTTATAACCTCTTATTGCAGCGCTATCTACAATGGATACTGTGTACTACAGTCCCACGAGTATAGAGGTGACAGTGGAAGGACGTTATGAGCCACAAATAATTTGGTTCATTGGAGGACAGGCGTACAGTTCTCAAGATAATCCCCATTTGACCCCAACAATTTCATCGGTATGGTCTGGGTCCAAAAAGACCTTTAATCTGGCGTTCGATATGAGTGGGTTTGAAACATCTATGTCGCCGTTCACAGTTCGAGGAACAGTGTCTTTCGGAGACGCCACTGATTCAACCTTCGACACGGTGACAGCCAACATCTACAAGAGAGGTTTTTCTTCTCTTATCCATTATTCCATTGTCTCATTTAAATTTATGATTCGATATTGCTGAAACTTTACTGATATCTAACTCTCATTTCACTTTAAGATTTCAATTTTAAATATGAATTTATTTTCATAGCTGCATTATACCTAATCTTAAAAAGTTGTTTATAACCTTAATTGCCATCCCAGAGTTTGTTGAGAGCCTTCCAGCCTCAACAATATTCCGCAACACTGACATCCCGAAAGCATTCTTGTGCTCTGCTTCGGGTGAAGACAAGGAATTACTTACGTTGTCTTGGAAGATAGGTTTGTTTCTAACGATCTCCTGTTACTCACGTTCAATGTAATATACACTCTGCAACTCGCTCATTTGAATGTGATACGTACGATACATAAAATTTATGACCGGTCAGTTTTATCAACGCTGAAATGTAAGTATTCTTTTTCTCGTGATAACTGAAATTACACACTAAAGAACGATACCACCACTCAACAGGAGATGTACTAGTAGATGATGAGGTAGAGCACGTGACCCTAACAGATGAGTCAGACAGCAGCTCAACCACCACCAAGATCAGCAAGTTGACAATAACAACCAACAAACCAACTTTCAACGCTCAGTTCAAATGTATTGCCACCTGGAGCGGAATAAATGGAAAGTCTATCGAGTCGACGTCTGACTCTAACGCTGTCGGAGTAGCCGTGGATGAGAACACGTTCAGCACTGGTTCCTCTGGAGACGGAGTAATAAGTTGTGTGGTGTGGGGTGATTCACCCCCACATTCTGTCACGTGGTCTAACGAAAGGGGTGATGCTATCACCAACCAACCTGATGAGGTAACTGCCATAGATAGCCGAGAATCAATGAACTCAATGAACGATTTTTGAGCATGATTTTAATTATCTTTTTTGATATCTTCCAACTTTTAGTTTAACGAAATGACCCAACTTTCAGACAGAAATCGCAGACAGTATAACAGAAGGCATTACTTACACCCACTTGCTCACTGTTAAGAAGATGACGTTTGGGGATCAAGGAAAATACACCTGCTCAGTTGTGTTTGGGGAAAACGAAACCCCCGTTAATGTCGTCACAACTCTTCACAAGCTTTGTAAGTTGGTTATCAGTGATCATATTCAACCATCTATCCACCCTGTTGCTAAAACTTATATTTATATATTGGTATTGTTTTATAAATATAATGAAACGGATCGTTTGCCCGCCAATTTGATTGTTTTCAATTGTTCGAAATGTATATTATACAGGGTGGGCCAAAAGTCAGTACCCATACGTTGGCCTTTATAGCTCAGTCACTGAGTGCCCAATTTAAATACTTCTTTCTTGTATGACTTACTACCACCACTGGTTCGAGGAATTTGTCAACTCGAAAAATATTCGCGTTCATTTTTTTCAAATGGAGGTTCATTTTCACATTTATTTGATAGTTTGGATAGTCAGATCAAGCTAAATGTTATTGAATTGTGTTTGGCCATTCGAATTACGTTTGTCCTGAAAGAATTAGAACTGTAGCTTCTCAGATGACCGAGATATGAAGCATAACAAGTTTATTCATTACGTGTGATCAGGTGATTGGTTTACCTAATCACGTGATAAGGTGACCCCGTTAACTACCCCGTTAAACATTATGGGAATTGTTAAGGGTGCCCAATTAAGGTGTCGTGTCACGGTGTCACATAATCAGTAATCACCCAGTCAATTTTGTTAACGAGATACAGAAAATGCTTGATAACTTCGTCATTTCTAATCCGTTTTGCCTCATGTTTTCAGATCATATGCAACATTTGATAATCTACCGTCTCTGAAAAAATTTAGGCGTTCAGCATGTCCAGAGAAAACAATATAGGTGTTTTAATATTGAATGGGCGTGGTCTAAAATATTCGAATTTTCAAATTTTGACGACGGAATCCCGAACCAGTAAGTACAGTATGCCATCTGCAAAGCAACATCTCTCAAATATAAAACACGGCGGAGCTATTAAGGCCAACGTATGGGTACTGACTTTTGGCCCACCCTGTATATATATATTCAATAAATTAACCGCTAAGTGATGTGATTTTCAGCTGCAAGTTTCGAACCAGCAACACCATATTTCGTCCACGAGGAAACTGTCCAGTTCTCCTGCGTGTACAACGGTTTGGATGACCCGCAGAATATCAAATGGTTCAGGGTAAATGAATACGCCATATTAAACCGAAATAATCTGAAAATCTAAAATATCTTGGAAAGATATCTTGTGAAAAAACTACGTTTTCTTTTGTTTTTGTTTCATTGACTTGTTAAAACCATCACCATAAAGAGCTACGATCTCAGAGTTCAACAGACGATGCTGAAAACCTAATAAGCAACAGTGATGCTAAGTACACCATTACCACTGGCAACTTCAACAAGGCCTTCAGTACGAAGACTAGCGTTATCACTGTAGAGGATGTTGAAGTTACTGACAGTGGCGACTACACCTGCAAATGGACCACCGCAAACTTCAATCCTAAGTCAACAACGGTAGTCTCTGTTCGATGTAAGTGATTCTGTATTTAGCACGGTGTTCCTCAAGAGTTGTGATCCTTGTCATGATTTTTTATAATTTCTATATTGTTCCAGAATTTTCTGCTTTACAAAATTCAATCATATTACAAACAGAAACAATTTCAGTGCTGACTACTCTCTACAACGGTATACAGCACTCTACAACGGTATACAGCACTGACGGGTCCATAAAGATCACGTGCAACTACGAGGGTACAACGAGTGGCACCATGGAGTGGTACTATAATAGCCAGAAACTGGAAGATGCTGCTGATGGTGCCATCGCCATCAACCCTGGTTCCCTGCAGAGCAATGCTCAGCAGTACACTCTGACAATTACTGACGTTACTCCGCCTGACAATACGGGGTCTTACAGCTGTGTTCTGTCGTTCACAGACGGGGACAGTCTGCGAGCAAGCACGGAGGTTGTGGTGCGAAAATCATCCTCAGTCGACAGAGCGGGCACTGCTGAATCCACCATAGTTGTAACTGGTGATGACCTTTCTGCCAGATGCCTTATGGAAGGTGACAAGGTTCCCTCTGGAGTGACATGGACTAAAGGTGGCGATAACATCGTGTTCGATGGATCCACTAAGATAGAAAACACGAATACCAAACAACTGGAAAGCAGCGTAAGGTTTTTCAGCAACATAACTATAAAAAGTTATGACGAGGATAGTTACATCTGTAGCTTCATTTTTGAGGACGGTATTAATGTGCAATCAACAATAGAGGTCGTGTCCGCTAAAATTACCAACAATGAATGTGAGTTTGTGGACATCCGAACCCACACCAGCAAGACCCTTACCTGTACTTACCATGGTAGTAGTGCTGCCACTGCTGTTTCCTTTACTCGACCAGACGACTCAGTTGTTGCTGGAGTATTGGCTGAATTCAGCGCTGGAGGGGATGCCAGTACGGCAGGTTCCCAAACGGGTAGTTACGCTGTATCTAGTGTGAGTGAAGCGTCCAGTGGTTCGTACAAGTGTACCTTCACTTTAACAGGAGGGAAGACTGTGGAGTTCATTCAGAGACTAACTGCAAGGAGTAAGTAAACACTGAAATGTTATATAATTTCCATTTGCTTTTTTGCGAAATTTTGACTATGGAAATTAAGCATTAATTGTGCTTATTAACCTTGAATGATCTTAGCGCAGTAATAACAAACGTTATATTTCAGAGGCTGTCATCGAATCATCAGCTGGTCTAAATGCAGATCTCATCGTACAGGCTTCTATAACTCTGACTTGTACCGTTACCTCTGGTGCACGGTCTTTGGACTGGTTAGTGTAGAACTTTTTATTGCTCAGAACTATTCAGATCCTTCATAATTTAAATTTGATTCAAATTTCAGGTTTCAATGTTGTCCTCCGATGTGCTATAATGTAAAATCCGGATCGGAATATTGTTTATGAGTCGCATGGTTGCGCAAAGTATTCTTGTGTAAATTTTTATTGATCCCTTTTGATGCGACAAGGAAAATGCTCTTATCAGGAAAGAAATTACTCAGTCTCAACGTTTCAATGTTACAAATCTAGAAATGTTTTTATCCAAAATTCAAAACGTAAAAAACATCGATCGAGGCAAAATTAGTGTACAATTATTTATTTTTAATTCCATCAACTTTACCAACAACAAAAAAAGAAAAAATAAATAAAAAATAAAGTGCTGATGCTCGCTCCTACCTGTACTTTCGGTTCCCACCACCCGAACCATACATTCAGCAGCATAGTCTATAGTGCATGCCTGAGACTCCGGCGAATCATCAATGATAACGACAGACTCCGAAAACAAATTGATGAATTAAAAACCTTTTTCTTCCAATCCAACTACCCTAAAACTATGGTAGATAACATCAGTGAAAAAGTCAAAGGCTTTGAAAGATGCCTCAAACCACTGGACAACTCAAACAGCAATGTCCTGGTCCCAAAGTCTCCAGAACCAGCAGTCCGCGTTATTTCAACATTTGGCAGCGATCAAGAGTTAGTAGAATCGGTAAAAAGATTGGAACCAGAACTCAGTAGAACCAGGAGCTTCTCAGGATTATCTGGTTCCCATACAAGTGGAAACACCCCAGGCTCCCCAATATCATCTAAAGCCGGTACATCACGCCCTATCTTCAAATTCGTCAGACGTACTGGAACATCATTTAGAAGGAAGTTAGTCAAAGCAAAACAATTTGCGGATGACTTAACCCAACCTCACACAAGACCATGTGGGGGCAGACACTGCGGTACCTGTAACATCATATCTCCACATCCATCAATAACAGTCAATGGACAGCGAGCCAAAGCAGTGTCTGGTACATGTGTCAGCTACAATGTTGTATACATCTTCAGTTGCCAACTTTGTAATATGTGTTATGTAGGAAGAACGGTGCAGCCCCTAAGGGCACGAGTAAACGAACATCGCGCCCATTACTACAAACTCATTTCGGACAATACGTTTGTCCCTGAAGAAAACGACGACGGATTCAGCTTGGGTAAACACCTTGTAGAAGTTCATAACATGAAACAACGTGACAATTTCAACCAGGCTTATAAAGTGTCAATTCTCAGTAATAGTAGCCCAAGAACTCTAGAAGTGGATGAACACCGTTATATTCAGAAACTAAGAACTATACGTCCATTGGGGCTCAATGCCATGGACCCGTTTGGGATTCCATTATTGGATTTATCTTAAAGGTTTTCCACTGCATTGGGGCACAAGAGTTATGTTTTTAAAAATATTCATATCGTTTTTAGTTGTGTCATTTCATTTCCAATGTTACACTTTGTAGGAACTGATATTAACCGAGTTTCTGATTCAGGATGTTACTGAAGATAGTAATGAAAATGTTTTAACACCTCAGTACTGTGTTTTACTACAGCTCAACCTGCTCAGTCTGACTATTTGGGAATTTAAACTCTAAAAATAAAGTGCTATAACATTCCATCCATTTCATAATTTTAGGTACAAGGGAGTGGCCAAGCTTATCGAGGAGCAAGATTACAAACGAATAAAAGTGTCAGAATCAGATGACCTGGTTTCCAAAATAACTTTTAACATCGCTGACGACAGCGCAGGGTCATACACGTGTCGTGCGGTGCAATACGACAATTTCTGCCCTACCGAGGAAAGGTTTGACTCGGAACCGGTTGCGGTGTCAATCATTGCGGCAGCTCTAATAACAAACCCTGCTAGTGCCACCGCTTATGGTGGTGCAAGCCACGTGTTTGAATGCGTGTTCCCTAATCCATTCGGAACTGATTATAACGAAATCACGTGGTCTTTCAAAAGTGCTGGGGATTCTGTTGCTAGGGTAAGTTTTGACATTATCTTTTGGTCCTACCAAAAATGAAAATGAAAATATCGAATCTCGCCGTAAATCTGATGTAAATTTTGTACCGAAATATTGATCACATCTAACGGGCAAAATCATGTTTCATGATAGCGGTATATTATAGTGACTGCAACAAATAAAATCCGGCGCCTTCACTAATACTTTTCTCGCTCAAATTTATCCCATAATCGCAGCCGATGATAGGAAATGGAGATGTATACAATGACCAAAATGAGAGAGTTATCGATGGAACAAAGGCATCTGACAGCTCGGTTGCAAATAAAATCTCAACCACCCTCACCATCGGAAGTGTTAGTCAAATCCTTCAAGATAGCTGTTTAAACTTTTAAAGTATTTGCCTTTCAGAAGTTTCTTTGACTAACTTTTGGACGCATTTAAAAGCTGGATTATCACTAAACCTTTGCTGATATTTGAATTGTTAACTTTACAGGTAAACTCGGACGCAGCAGGAGAGTACATCTGTTTCATAAAGTGGGGAAGAATATTCATCAAGTCCGCAGCCGCCACACTAAAAGTAAGAGAAATATCTTCTCCACCCGAAACAACCAACGTGGCCAAGGGAGGAGAGGCTAAGTTCACTTGTAAAACTTCCGGTGATAGCGCAGCGTTAATCACCTTTCACAAGACAAGTAGTGATGAGTCAGTTGGTACAGTTGTTGTGACTCAAGCTACATCTGGTGACATTGTGACTACCACTGGAATATTGACCATTGCTGGTGTCACAGCTACAGATCAAGGTATTGAGTATTATTGCAAAGCAGCTTGGGGTGAAAACACAGTGGAATCAGGTAAGGTGTTCTTATCTGTTTTGGATATAACGAGCTCAACAGAAACCGTGTGGGGCCTCGCTGGTTATGTAGCGGAGTTCAAATGTTATTCAGATGCTTTGCTCAAAGCAAACGCGAACGGCGATCCGTATTTGGTCAACAAGCAGAAGACATACGCCGATGCTCAAATAAGTTGGGAGGTTTTTGACACTTCAGACACATCCTGGAAATCAACTGCTTCAAATTCACGGTGAGTGCATGCTAGAAAATACGACCATTTTAAACTTCATTTAAATAAGATAGCAGCTGAATACTATGGGTATAAACTCCCTGCGTTGTGGCTTGTTTGCTGTACATAATCTAAGCTGAAGCGAGTGGTCGCTGAACTTAAGTTAAATCTTCCCGAATGGAAATACGTGTATTTTATTCAAAAACTAAATCTTAAACTTGCCCCCTGCAGATTCGTGGTTAAGACATCGATGAGAAGCAATGATGGAGTAAGTTTGTCTCCTATGTCTCTCAATAACCTGGAGGAAGGTGATAACGATCTGAAAGTAAGATGTAACATCGCCTACCAAACAGATGCAGCCAACAACTTCTACGGAGGTACAGTCACCTCAGGAGAATTGACCATGAAGATCGGTTCCATCACATCCTTCACTTCCTCTAAATCTGACCCACTGGTTGGAGAAACCATCACTCTAACCTGTACTGCAACCGGAGAAATTGCTCCTACTTTCTCTTTTACAACCCACGGGAAGAACCATTTCGACACTACCTTCTTTAAGTTGGTGAAGGCTGCAACTGTTACTTCAGTCGATTCAGTACACACTGCGGAATACACTACAGAGACTCTCAGGGTTAACACGATGATAAATGGACAAGTTGTCAACTGTCTGGTAAGAATACAGTTTTTTTTTAATTATTGAATACTTTCAAACTTTACAGAGTACAGCAATTATAACGTATAAAATTAACTCAAATAAATTATTGCACCCGTCTGTAAAATCAGACGGGAGACCAAACACGGTACTGCACAGTAAAATGTGCCCGCAATTACATGGCCCCGATATGATTACAAAAATGTGAAACAAAATTAAAATTGTGAAAAAATAAATGTGTGGTGAAGAATGTGAAACAGTTCAAATTTCTTCAGACAAGGCTGATACACTGTTTTTATCAAAGCTGACAATCTTATTGTTCCTTATGAAATGAACTCTGTTAGGCTCTGCTTTCCTCTTCTCTTTCAATTCCTCCCAGAGCTTCTTGAAAGCTCTCCTTTTCTTCCACTGATCTGTCCGGGCAAATGTAGATACTTTTATAGTCCTCTTTTGTGCGTAGAATTTTAGCTTTTCTCAGCACCTGAGCAGCCATATAAAAACTACCTTATTTGGACGGACATTAAATGAACGGACATAATTATGAACGGACATTAATATGAACGGTAGAAGGCATTAAAAACCATCAAAAATCCGAATTTTTTTTTCATTTTTCGTTGACGATTTTTATTTCAGCAAATGATTTTTAAATCCATTTTTTATATAATAAGTAAGAAATTCATTCGTTAAGCAGTAAAAATATTAAAATATGTGTACATGATCAGTGTCTAATATCACATATCATCTTCATCAAATGGGTTTTCGTACATGAAATAGTCCATGCTTAAAGCATCAGTGATTTATGGAAACTTTTTTAATCAAACTACCCCGTCCTGCATTTCAGTGTTAACTTTTACAAGCCATTCGGCGTGAAGTGGTTTTATCTTAGACAACTTTGTCTTTAGGTTAACCTTAACATCACGTGGAGCTTTCCTAGCACTGCTTCATTACCTCCCCTGAGTAATACGAACTATAACAACGTCGGACAATGTCCTTGGAAACACGATTTACCGTAATATCTAGAGGCTCATGGAACAAGTTTGTCATGTCGTTAACTTGCGGCACAATAATTTTCACATAGTATATATACTATATATATACATAGTATATATACATAGTATATATACATAGTATATATACTATAATTTTCACATAGTATAATATACTCTGGACAAAAAGTTCGAATTTTTGAAAAAAAATTCAACGGACTTTAACTAGGATGGACTTTAAATGAACGGACTTTAAAAGTTTAAATGAACGGACTTTATTTGAACGGAGATTAAGATGAACGTTAGGCCCTCCAGCGTTCAAGTAATGTCCGTCCAAATAAGGTCCGATAAGGTATTCAGAGATTGCCTAGTAGGTCCTGATGTGTCGGCTCTCTTCTGACCAATTCTCTACAACAGTCACGAAATTAAGGTTTCTCGTTATCTCACCAAGAACTTCAGCAACTTTGTTTTCTAACTTCTCACCGTCGGATTCACTTATTCCATAGATTACGACGTTTCTCACTTTTCTGCTTCTTTCATCCTTTTGAGCTATTGTTTTAACTGCAGTACATCTCTTCTTTGGCGTAAGAGCAGCAGCACTAGTCTTCTTCAGGGCAGAAGAATATGATTTCATTTCTGTCTGCACTGTTGTTTGGACTGACTCGAGTTCTTCGTCCTTCTTTTCAATGAGCTTTTTCTGCAAAACAATGACAGTTTTCTACTCCGCGATTAATGAAATGTTTTGTTTATCTACTCTCACCGCAACCATTTACAAATGAGGGGCTGCATAACGATTCAGAATGAAACAAACAGTTTGCAGCCAATCACACAGTTTTTCTTTCGAAACTGATCGCTTGTTCAGGTTTTTTAATACAAGACCTCCGTATTCCTTAACACCCAGTTCGTGGCACATTTCATTAAAAACACTGTCTGTAACTCTTGCTACCTGATCTGCATTCCTGGCATTAAACAGATCTTCATTATCGGGGTCATCCACCAAATGCTTCGTATGTTCATGGTATGAGTGCTGCATCGTGTATATTCCGACGTACAGATCTTGTATACAGGCTTGTATACAACTACAATATTTTTGTAAATAATCAATTTTTATTGAAAATGCATAAATCGTGATTGATAGAACAATGTAGTTCAGCACTTTTTATCCATTTTTCTTATATTTTTCTTATATTATCGAGATTCGCTATATTATTTCAGGCTGACTACGGATTAGCTCAGAAAACAGAGAAAGAATTGACAGTCACAACATATTTCAAATGTGCTGATGTCACATGGAAATCATTAAATCCAGGTATAGCATCACTCCTGATCCTAGATCATATAACTTTTTAAAAAATATTATATTAACAATCGCCCTGTAAGCATTGGATTTAATACCGCTCTGGTTTTGGCTTCTCTGGACCGACCAAGAGTATATGCAACTTTAATACTTGTACTTGTAAGTAGATCTACGATTGGGGTTAAGTCAAGTTAAGGGTTGAAGGGTTCCAGGTTCAGGGCAAAACAACATAAACCTATCAACATGCATCTGAGTCCAGATCTGCAAAACGTTTTCAATTCTTACTTCAAAACTCATCTACCCTCCCATACAGATGGAAATGGAGCGACAATAGCAGAGGAAGATCTTGGTGATGGTTCTCTGAAGCAGACTATAACTTGCCCTGTTAACTCAGACCAAGCTAGAATTGAATTAGTTACCCGTGAGTATTATTACTAAACTTTTTACACAATCTGTTGAAAATAAGCATAATTACACATTCAATTAATGTTATCTTTAGAACCTTGCCTGTGTTCTATTATTGTGGTATCACTTTCCCTATTCATAACCAAAACTCAAGCTTTTTACCTCATTTTCCAGCGCTTGGCTCGGCTGCAGCAATAACTTGCACCAAGGAGACGGGAATGTATGACAACTACCTTGCCCGGTGCAAAGAAACAAACCCATTGTCCACCGGTACGGGAATACAGAATATGGTTGTTGCAAACAGCGCAGAGCAGGTGCTTTTTTGTTTATTTGTTTGAATGCTTTTATTTAGTATTCATTACATTCCATTTATTTGTCAAGTTTTCACAGGTAAGAAAAAGAGGCTTGTAAATAAGCCGCCTTTTCTATATATAAGCCGCTTTTTCGCTTATATATAAGCCGATTTTTAAAATATACAAGTAGTACAGACAGATCCGTCTGAAAAAATCGATCTGCCGACACACAAAGCTTACAAAGGATTTTTGACGTTTTTGAGTCCTAATAGATGTCCTTTATGGCTGACCAACTTTTCCAAACTTTTCCACGTGTCTTAAGGCCACTTTTTGCCACTTTACCACTTTTTACCACCTTTCTTGTTTGTCGAATATCTTTAGTTGTGAACATCGTAAAAGGTTGCGGATCAATCGAGTGTGTTCATATTACTATGAAGAAAAACTTTTGTTGTAACAATTTTTACGTCAGATTATCAGTTAATTGGATAATTATCAATTAGCTAATTAGCAAAATTCTAAAAAATTTTTATTGGCTCAAAATGATCGGAATAGCTTAAAACACGGAGAAAAGTAGTTTTTAGAAAAACTTTGAAAATTTTTCACTTACATTTTTTTTCGATACTTGGAAAAATTTCGAAAATTTAAAATATTTTTTTCCGCCAAAAGAGATCAAATCGCATGAAACGCGGAGAAAAATGCTTTTCAAAAAAACTTAGTGAATTTTTAGTTTCAAGAATACTTAAATCACCAATATTTGTAGTTGGAGTTCAGTAAATCGCGGCAGATTTTAGTAATCAGGAATTACTAAGTGGAAAGGTCTGAAACTGAAAAACGTTAACAATACGATATAAGAGTTTCATAACTAATTACAATACAGCCTTATCAATTTTCACATAAACTGCACTAATGGCACAGTCAAGATCGAAAGACGAAACGATAGCCTGCTGTACTATCATTTTATTGATTTCAATGATGAATCAGTGGGGTTAAGATAATCACATTTATAATAAATAAAACCTCTCTGTACCGTCAATTGTGCTAATCTAAACCGGCCTACCTGGATTACCAGACCTCTTCTTTTCCTCAACAATCAAACCAAGTTGTTCATATATGATTGAATACAGCTCGATAAGTACTTACATCGCCCACCAAATGCTATATATAGCATTTGGTGGGCGATGTAATACTTATCGAGCTGTATTCAATCACAATACGACACAATACGTGTATATTATATGGCTCTTAATGAGGTTTATGAAACGCTTAATACCGTGAGAAACCCGGTATAGAGACGTTTTACAGTATATCACGAAAACGTATACTTGGCCTCATGGCTCATTTACAGTTCGAAGAAGGCAAGAACAGACCAGGGAAACTAAGGAACAGCCAGATCCAGGAAGCAAGTGTAAATACACCTTCCAACATCTACTGTGACTTGTTTTGTATTGTACTGCATACCGCTTCATTTGCTATGCGGTATAAAATCACCCCCATATGTCAGGGTCGGCTAAAAGTAAAATCAACAAGGGTAACATACGGGCAAGGATAAGATTTAGATACGAGCGTCGGGAAAGGGGTAGTAAAGAACCGGTAATAATTCATTCAGTAAAATGTTCCACGAGAGTCAGGATATTTTGGAAATTGCTAATAGAGACAGATCCTGATCAGGAAGGATTGTTAATGTTATTGAGGATGTTGATTTGAAATCTGGACGTTGTGAAGTAAAAATACAGGTTCTTCCCGCAGGATATTCGGGGCCCATGATGATCAGCTCGGGATTAATGTGGGACAGATCGAAGAGCATTGAAAAGAGCGAGTTGACATTTTAAGCTTTCTGGTCTTTTCTTGCCTTCTTTGAGCTGTCAAAGAGTCATGAGGCTAAGTAGACGTTTTCGTGATAAACTGTAAAACCTCTCCATACCGGGCCTCTCACGGGAGAAACGAGAAGTGTACGGTATAGAACGTTTTATATACCTCATTAAGGGCCATAATATAATATACACGTATTGCATTGTGTCGTATTGTGATTGAATACAGCTCGATATAATGTACTTACATCGCCCACCAAATGCGATATGAACAACTTGGCTTGATTGTTGAGGAAAAGAAGAGGTCTGGTAATCCAGGTAGGCCGGTTTAGATTAGCACAATTGACGGTACAGAGAGGTATCATTTATTATAAATGTGATTATCTTAACCCCACTGATTCATCATTGAAATCAATAAAATGATAGTACAGCAGGCTATCGTTTCGTCTTTCGATCTTGACTGTGCCATTGGTGCAGTTTCTGTGAAAATTGATAAGGCTGTATTGTAATTAGTTATGAAACTCTTATATCGTATGGTTAACGTTTTTCAGTTTCAGACCTTTCCACTTAGTTATTCCTGATTATTAAAATCTGCCGCGATTTACTGAACTCCAACTACAAATATTGGTGATTTAAGTATTCTTGAAAGAATACTAGTGAAAGAAATTCACTAAGTTTTTTTGAAAAGCATTTTTCTCCGCGTTTCATGCGATTTGATCACTTTTGGCGGAAAAAAATATTTTAAATTTTCGAAATTTTTCCAAGTCTCGAAAAAAAATGTGAGTGAAAAATTTTCAAAGTTTTTCTAAAAACTACTTTTCTCCGTGTTTTAAGCTATTCCGATCATTTTGAGCCAATAAAAATTTTTTAGAATTTTGCTAATTAGCTAATTGATAATTATCCAATTAACTGAAAATCTGACGTAAAAATTGTTAGAACAAAAGTTTTTTTTCATGGTAATATGAACACACTCGATTGATCCGCAACCTTTTACGATGTTCACAACTAAAGATATTCGACAAACAAGAAAGGTGGTAAAAAGTGGTAAAGTGGCAAAAAGTGGCCTTAAGACACGTGGAAAAGTTTGGAAAAGTTGGTCAGCCATAAAGGACATCTATTAGGACTCAAAAACGTCAAAAATCCTTTGTAAGCTTTGTGTGTCGGCAGATCGATTTTTTCAGACGGATCTGTCTGTACTAAAGCCATTTTTTCGTCAAAGAAAGTTGTACTCGTTGTAGATATATTTAAAGTCACTATTGTGACGGTACATTAGAACTAGACAGAAACAAAGTGTGAAGGGCCTGAACGGAACCCCTCGGTTTCAGTTCCTTGTTTAACACTGCCGTACAGGAAGGACATTCGCCGGGTTCTCCAAGGATGGGCACATATCTCACTCCACACAATGCTCTGTCAAATGTTGCTTATATAATACCAAGGATCTACAGGAAATATTTCCTTGTAAGTTTTTAGAGGGCGATCTGTGAACAGTGAACAGACAACTACCTCATTCCCAACTATAGGAGCTAGAATTCCTATACTATCCGAACAAGCTACACCAAGCGTAGTTTCAGATGAGATACCTGTCACAACTTTAACAGTTTATATTTCAGCCAGCGCCTTGCACTGCTGAAGCAACTGGGGAATATTCGATTGCAATAATGAAAGAAAAACTGAACTCACCGAACGATGTTTTTTGTGGTATTAGACATCAAGTTACTTGCTTGGGTGACGGAAGTAAGTGTTTTCTGTAGTTTTACGATTTTATAAAATTATCGTGGTGACTGTTGACGATGATAATAAAACTGGTACATTCGCGTGTTTATGACGCATATTTTTTCAATGCTTATTATCTAAAAATGCACCATAAACTTGATAAAGTGCCGAGCGAAGGCACTCAAGTGACTTTAAATTTTAAGTGACCATCTATGAACCATCATTGTACCACTTACTACAAAACACTCTTCTCACAGCGTGTACTCTGGATACAGACAAAACAGATTGTCGTTACGAGGACGGCAAGGTGATTATAGAGTACTTTGTTAACTTGACACCTGGTGTTTGGACTCTCGCTGAGAGACATCCTCTCATAGTATTGAAAGATACAATTCAGTTCTGGAGCTGTTCAAACGATTATAATAAAAGGTAGTTATTAAAAAAGTTATTATTTATATTAAAAAAGTTATTATATTTATATATAAATATGAGTTTATTTTAATGGTGTGGACTGTTTATTTGAGTTTCTATTAATGGTGTGGACTGTTTATTTGAGTTTCTTTTAATGGTGTGGACTGTTGATATGAGTTTATTTTCATGGTGTGGACTGTTTATAAATACGAGTTTCTTTAAAAAAGATTACTTGATAGTTTTTCGTTGTTCCCTGGTGCATAGTTGAAATTTTTGTTTTAATGAACTTTATAAAGCTCCAATGATTAAAATAATCGTTTCGTCCTCTAGGCAAAATTTTCACAAAATTTTCAAATGTCCAGTTGATAGGATAGTTTGACTATGATTAATGTATGACTATTATCTACATAATATTGAACAACTTAGATCATAGAGAAACTGATCTTCTCTCTCTTAAATCAACCACTTGCTATGATTAAAGGAATTTTCAAATCAACACTCAAACAGTCCTTACTTTTTAATGTGAGCCGAGCCATTATCATATTTATAATGCTCGCAATATATGTTAATCATGATTGTATTGCTTTTCTTCACTCATTAAGACAAAATTGTTGTTTTCTTTCTAACACAGTCTAGAAAAGAGTTGGTAACCATGGTTACCATTCTATACTAATATATTGCTACCATGGTTACCATTCTATACTAATATAATGCTACCATGGTTACCATTCTATACTAATATAATGCTACCATGGTTACCATTCTATACTAATATAATGCTACCATGGTTACCATTCTATAATCTATACTAATATAATGCTACCATGGTTACCATTCTATACTAATATAATGCTACCATGGTTACCATTCTATACTAATATAATGCTACCATGGTTACCATTCTATACTAATATAATGCTACTGAGACAATATACCTCATCGGAATTTATTTGGTCGGACAATAAGTGAACGCTGGGAGGATAAGCGTGCAAGTAATGTCCGTCTAAATTAAAGTCTAACTACCATGGACGTTCAAAAGAAATCTTTCCGTTCAAAATAATAAGTAATACGTTTAAGTAATCTCTGTCTAAATATGGTCCGAAAGTTATACCAATATTGTCCAATCGAAACAAAATCGTTAATGTAAAGCACTCTGGTAAGCAGAGGAAAATTCTGAATGAGTTTCCAAACTTCTCATCTCCCAGTTGTCAGTAGTGCAGCTCTCAGAAGAGTCTCCACTGTTAACGTATCAAATAGGAGCTCATTAGAGTTAAGCTCCATGGCTAGTGCGAAGAATGGTATCAAAGTAAAAGTGAAGCCATCCTCAGAGTAGAGGTTGAACTGAAGCTCAGTCTGCGTGTTGGCACTTGATCTGAGTGTGCAACTAGGCTTCACGACTGTCGACTTCATATGGTTCATCTGGTTCATCTGGTTCTGGAGTTTGATATTCGATGTACTCAACATTTCCCCCGTCATTCCGAAGCTCCAAATTCCTCATTTTGTTCCGCAATGTTTCACCACTGCTTGAAGATCCGATACTACTCACCGTTACCCTTTCCAGTTTCATGTATGTGTCGAAATTTCTGAGCGTGTTACATCTCATCGAATCAGAACCTGTGTCTGAAATTGAGCTTGATGAGTCTGAGGATCAGAATCTGGTTGTTTGTTCGTCTGACCCTTGCCTGGTGAGAGTGGAGATTTGTTTTTAGCAAGTCCCTCAATAAACAGAGGGCTATCATAAAGTGTCTCTTGAGCTGCACTCTTGACAATCTCAAATGTTTCCTCGGATATTGGCGCAACGTCAGGAATCGTTTCGGCTGAACTATAATAGATTGGTTCGCATTCTGACTTTTTGTTTACCTCAGCCGCATGTACCCTCTCAAATACGTTGCAAATTTCTTTAGATTTGATCACATGAATACCATTAATTCAACTCTTTTCGGAGGAGTCACATTCGAGTACAAGTGACGGATTCTGTTGAAGGTAAGATTTTTCAAGCTTGTTTTCCCGGTAGACGTTCACTATAACTAGTGAACCACTTTCAGAGCAAGAAGAATAAGCGGTTTCTATTTCAGCACGATTCTTTTTCTGTTTCCCTTTTGACGATCTCTTTTTCCTCTCAATTCTGATATCCAGCTGCTTGTTATTCTTATCTAGGAAAATATACTGGCTAACTCCCGAGTCCTGACTGCAGTTAATGAACCTCGAATTATCACGAGTAGTTGTGTCTGCATCCTCCATATTATACGTGGTGTTCGATTTTTGCTCTTGATCAGATTGAATGATCATGCTATTCGGAAAGATAGTTTCAACTCTTGCAGGGTCTCCTTGCCTGTTGTCCTCAGGATGAGTCGTTAGATTGGTAGAAATTGATTATGGTATGAAACCAAATTGAGGTACTGGGAGTTAAAATCCGAATAAAATTGCGAAATCATATTGTCTCAATCTCTGTCCCATTTTTAGTTTTTGAAAATGAAATTTCCAGGACCGCAATTTTACAGTTTTGACTGATCTTTTCACCCGCAACCAATTAGTAAGTCAACTATAGATGCCAAATGTTACGATTGAGGTGCAGAATACGGTGTCCGGTCATTTAACTTTTTAAATTTGATTAATTGACAATAGCAACCCCTCCATTTTGTGCTCCGTAGCGCCCCAAAAGTGATGAGTAAAGAACCATTATTTGATATTTTTACCAACATGAAACGATCGCGATCGTTAATTTAATTTTAAATTTTAAAAGGCATGGCAATCCCAACGGTTGATGAAAATTTAGCGTCCGCTAACTGGCACAATTTTTGTTAATTTTACCCTGTATATGCAATTGCATGAGGGGATTCGGAATCAGCGTCAAAAAGTACACCGATTCAGATCAATTTCATACTCAAAGGGCCTTTTCACATGAATTTTCTTACCTGGGGACCCCAGGCTATTATGTTTATAAGCATAGCCTAGCTGGCGTAACTGAACCCTCTAAAACGCGCAGGTAGGCGCGTTTATGCGATTTTACAATCAAATAATCAGATTTTTCAATTTAACTCAGCGCACGGCTCTTATAGCGCATACGTCACTTCTTTCCAATTGGTAGTTGGCGCGCGTGCACGTGATCTCTTGCGCGGCTGTAATTGGTTCTGAACGATCACGTGAATACTAGTCACGTATAACGCTCTAACATCCATGCAATGAGCATTTGCATTTTTTTCAGGGCGATGAACGTCATAATTCACTCAGCCAGAACAGAGATTTGGCATAATGACAGGTTGATCCGTTGATCGCCGCCCAGAAAGAAATTTTTTAAAAATTTGGCGAGCGATTTAGCTTAGTAGGAGCGAATTTTTTCACCCGCAAACAATTAGTAAGTCAACTATAAATGCCAAATATCACGATTGAGGTGCTGGAAGTTTGCTTGATTTAATCTTCCTGGATGGCCGCCGCGCCACTGTACCCAGGTTGACGCTCAGCTAGCCTAACGTGTCATCCGACAATTAACAGATGTTACTGTACTAAGCTAGACTCCTCGGCCTCTAAATTTCTTCGAACATCGGAGCTGAAGTAGTGCGCGCTACTTTCTCCTCGAAATGGCAAGTGCTACGAAGTTGCGCGCACCCTACCAGTGCATTAACAATTTTAATAGGCCGTGCGCCATCGACCGTAAGAAACTGCTGCTACCTGCTACTAACTACTGCTGACTGCTGCTAACTGCTGCTAACTGCTGCTGTCGCGCGCGCAGTTAGCAGCAGTTTCTTTGCACTTTGCTCCTCCTGTCCTACTTTGGTATTCACAACACAGGAAGGCCAAATTGAAAAAAAACTTTGCTCACTGCTCACAGACTGAAGTGCAACGAAACTGCTGCTAACAGTTGCTAACTGCTTTTTACTAGTGTGCTGACCTCATAATTTTGATGAAGACCTCATAATTTTGATGAAAACCCCCTAACAGGATCAGGAGCTCATGTTTAGTTAAATAGTAGACAACGAATAAAAACTAATCTGTTACAGAAGAAGTAAAATACAGTTTTAAGTAAAATACAATTTTTATTTTCTACAGAAGAATCAATACATATTTTACTGGGCCGCGCTCAGCCTCAAGCCTGTCATTCCGCCTAATTTCTATTTTTATGAACATGATAGCCTGAGGTCCCCAGGTAATACATATTGAATTATAAATATCCGATAATTCCATTAATAATCATTAAAAGTTGCTTTGTCATTTGTAAAATCAAAAACGAAAAGCCGTACGCTGAACGCGCGCGGCATCTTTTCTGCAGCTGCCTAACTTGTAGCCGCCAAGTCCTGGGGTGCATACTCATTTACAATTAAACTTGGTCAAAGATATTTATATACAATTCCTAAATTAAATCAATAATCATGTTAATATGAATATTCAACACTAATCGACAACAAATATCTGCCGGCCCATCGACGATTCAGTCATTTCGACAAGACATTTCGTCATAAAACTATTTAGTACAGTCAGTTATGCACGAAAGCTGTGGAATATCTGCACGGTTTGAGAGAGTTTTTTCCTGAAGCACAGGCCTTCATTAAGGTATAAATAACTCAATTACACTCGGAGACAACTTTTTTAGCTTGGGCATAATCCTACAGGACGCTTTGAAGTTGAGTCACCGAATCGCGACTGACCCGCACTTAAAATGTGCCTAACTCGGCTTCTAATTGACCAATTGAAATGAGTGAACACGTCAAAATGACCGGAATGATCACATTAATAGGGGCGAATCAAGGTTTTAAGGTCCCAAACCCTTTAGTTTTTGAGTTATAAGACAAAAACAGTGTAGCGAAGCCAAAAAATCAGGATTTTGAAACTTTATTTATCGAGGGTTTTAGAAGATCATTAACCCCACCAAAATGACCGGAATGAGCACATTAGTGTAGGCGAATGAAGGTTTCAAGGTCCTAAACCCTTTATTTTTTGAGTTATACACTAAAAACTCTGCCGCGAAATCACAAAATTTGTCGCGATAAGTATCTTTAAGAATAATAATTAAGTCTGTAACATAACACATTTTTTGTAGTTTGACCTTATCAGGATTGACAATAACGCCTCTAAACATTTAATAAACAGGTAGAATTTGATGTATTGTCATAATAAAAACATATACAATTATGTATACATCTATATAATGTTAATATATAACCTCCTTGGCCTTGTATTGATACAGATCAAAATATGTTGTTAGGATGATCTTGAAAAAAAAGTTGTTAGAATGATCTTTAACAGAATTAAGTCTGTAACATAACACATTTTTTGTAGTTTGACCTTATCAGGATTGACAATAACGCCTCTAAACATTTAATAAACAGGTAGAATTTGATGTATTGTCATAATAAAAACATATACAATTATGTATACATCTATATAATGTTAATATATAACCTCCTTGGCCTTGTATTGATACAGATCAAAATATGTTGTTAGGATGATCTTGAAAAAAAAGTTGTTAGAATGATCTTTAACAGGATCAAGCCTGCTATGGAAGAGATTCTAATAATCGATCAGAATGGATTCAGGGAGAGTAAATCAACCACCAGCCATATTCTTTGACTAAGGAGGGTATTTGAGTATTTGAGG